TTTTGAAAACACCATACAAAGTTCCATCTGGCACTCGGCTGCACAAAGGCCACAAGGAACCCCACCCCACCCCCCCTGTTGCTGCTGAAACTCCTGGATGTCAAAAACTATTACTTTTTTAAAATCCCCTGACAGGCGGAGGAACTGGAAATATCCCGGCAGACATCTCACTAAAAAAGGCCTTTAAAAAAATGGTCTTCTTACCAAGAAGCAAGAGCTCCCTAGACTCTGGTGAGAGTCGTACCACAAAATTCTGATTCTACTGAAAGGCCGACTGACTGATGTCTAAAGTTAACTATCAGAACACAATGCCCCCAAAATGGCCTCTGGAAAGCAGGAGGTGAGAAGGCTGTAATTCCCATGGGGGGAATCCACCAAGCGCGCGGCCACGCTCCCAAGGTGTCCCGACACACCAAGCCCTTCCACTTAACTGGGGCATGTCCTTGCAGTGAACTGGGCCAAGACTGTAAGCACAGGCCCCATCGGATGAGAAAGGCTTGGTGTGTCAGGATGCCTGCAGAGCCTGACGCCCACTGCATGCGCACGTACGTCCATTGGATGAGAAAGGCTTGGTGTGTCAGGATGCCTGCAGAGCCTGACGCCCACTGCATGCGCACGTACGTCCATTGGATGAGAAAGGCTTGGTGTGTCAGGATGCCTGCAGAGCCTGACACCCACTGCATGCGCACGTACGTCCAGATGCCATTCATGTCCCGAAATCTGCCTTCCCACCTGCTTCTGCCTTCAGATCAGAGCAGCGATGGAGAAGGCCATCTGGAATGCCTGCGCCTGCCTGCCTCTCCCTTTGGGACACTTAGCGCTCTCTCTCTCTCTCTCTCAGAGGCTGAGGTTCTCCCTTCATTATTCTCTCTCTCTCTCTCTCTTTCTCTCCCAGAGGCTGAGGTTCTCCCTTCATTACCATGATAACATCCACCCGGCTTCTTGCCTCCAGCTACTAGAACAGGCCTCTGGGTGGGTGTCTGTCTGCAAAGAGCCGCATTGTTAACTCCTCGTCCCTTCGAAAGTTCCACCTGACCTTCTGTTCCCGACAAGGGGAGCGCACACTGTTTACGCACCCGTACATCTGCTCTTCTTCGCAAGGCAGCCGCTGAAAGGAAGCTCCCTTTTCACTCTTTGATTAAAAATGTAAAGCTATTCCAGATATTCCTGCAGGTTTGTGGGGGGAGGATTTTAATGTTTTTCAAAGTTGTTTGTAAAGAGGAGGGGGTGTAAATGGGTTTCATGCCTGCTGCCTCTTCCCTTACTCTCCAGTTTAAAACATCAAGGGATTAATGTATTTATGCCTTAACTTTGTGGACATTTCAGTGCTCCCTGCCTGCCCACCAACCCATCATCCTGCAACTCTGCTTAAAGAGGGAGGTTGCTAAAGACCGCTGGCTAGTGGGTGGCACAAAATAAAAACGGTTCAAGTCGTCTATTCCATGAAATGGTCCTGGAACTGCCGAGTTACCCAGGCCTGGGAGAGTGAACACTCAGCAGTCTGCACATTACACGTGGGTAAACGAACAGCTTGCTGAGAGTATTACCACTCAGCCTTACTGCCCTTTTGGGTTCCACGGTTCTGCAGAGAGGGAGGCACCTGTTTTTTGGCACACCTTCCAGGCTTCATGAGATTCCAGGTGCCCATCCGTTTCCAGATCCCCAGTTTGGCTGGGCAGACCCCTTTCTTCAATCCACGTCCAGGGGACGCTGGGGAGGGGCTTCCCTGAAGGTCTCCTTCGCTCCCATGCACCAGCCCTCCTCCCCCTCACACACCCTGCCCACCCCAAGGCCAGCCCTCCTCCTCCTCCTCCTCCCTGCGCTGGGAAAGGCCTTCCAGGCCTGACCAGCTGTGTTGTCCTCAGCCCCGTCTGAAGCCAGCTTTCAAGAAGCCGTGTGGTCTACTTACCATTATCAAATTCATCAGGAATCTACAGAAAAAGAGAAATCAGAGTGTGACTTTTATTTCACTCCATGCCACATAAATCATAAGAGGACAGATGGGGGAGCCAACCTGTTCCTTGTTTTAGAAGCTGACAGCAGCCCTGAGGTGGGTTCTGGGGAAGTCTTACCTCCCTTCCCCATTTGAAAGGCTGATTTCAAAGACAGCTTCCATACCCTTTAAGTCTTACATTTCAGAGACAGGGAATCTATGTCAAGCTTGCATCTGAAGGCATTGTGCTGGGGAAAGTGGATTTAGGAAACTGTGGAGGACAGAGATCACCTGAACGTCAGGCACAGACGGTTACACTTGAAAAATGCTAGTCCCCTTTGCCCGCATCCCCCACTATCTATTCTGGGGGAAGAAGGCTGGGCTTCCAGACTGACCCAGGAAGCCATTCCTCAGGTTCTTATGCCATCCTAAGCACACACACCCCCACAGTAGCCAAGCACCCCTCTCCTCCAAATGCCTTAAATGAGCCAGCCCAGTGTCCCAAGAAAGAGCTGGAAGCATAGTCTTTCGAGACTGAAGGATGCCTAGCTATTAACAAAGCCATCGTTCGGGGGGGGGGGAAGAAGGAGGTTTGGGACTATGGCTGCAGACTGCCTGTTTTGGTGAGGCAAACAGGCCAGCGGAAGATGGGCAAGGCTAAAAGGCACCACGGGAAGGAAGGAAGGTCCCTGCAGCAAAAGCGGGATATTGGTTGTGTGGGGCTACATTGAGTCCTGTGTCCCAAGGACCAATTCCAGAAGCAGGAACCCTTTCCTTTTTAAAGGCCAGGAAATGAGAGAGACCAGACACAGACCGACGCATCCGGAAGAGAGCACACACAGGAGGAGAAGCAGCTACCCACCCACAGCCTTTTTGTCCACGTAGCTGCTGCCACACCCCCGATTTAGAACCATTTCCCCCAAGGCGGCCAGTCCTGCCCTCCTTCCCACAACGCCTGCCGCCTGCCTGTCTCCCTGGCAAACAGACAAATGATGCCGCAAAGGCCTGCTTGGAAAGGAAACTGCTCTGAGGCCCCTCTCCCTCCAAGGGCCCAGACAACGGGCAAATCTTGTCCTGCCTGGGGTTAGCAAGCTGACAGAGTGCTTTGGCAACAAATATCTGAGGGGAGAAAGTGAACAAGGCTCTCTAGGGTGGTCTTCACCGGATTAATGGCCTCCAGACCAGTTGGGTGACGGCAAAGCCCAGAATCCCTCCAGCTGCTTGAGCTGCAGAGGCCAAAACACTGGGAGGGCCTGAGACGGAGGAAGGCTGGGCGAGAGAGACTCTCTTCGGAAGGCGCTTCCCCACCTGCCAGGGGTGTGTGATGAAGGGGAAGGCAGGGCTTGCCAGGGGTTTAGGAGCCGCAAAGATCTCCTCTGAAGTTTGTGAGGGGAAAGAGTACGACCTGTAGCTTCCGAACGCTTTGCAAGGGCAGCCCCAAAGAGGGCACCACTACAGCAGTCTAACTGAGAGTGAATCAATGCCTGGGTCACGGTGGCAAGAGGATAGCTGTCAACGAGCGAGCGGACACCTCACTGCCAGGATTCTTGCTGCTCAGCACAGAAATGGCAACCCCCCCGCCCCGCAGGCCCAGGAGGCACTTCTGCCACCACCACCACCACCACCCCTCCCCAAATCCCTTGCCACGAGGAGGAGAGGCAGCAGAAGTTTCAAGGCTGAGCCTGAGGAAGGCTGCCCGGCCGCCCAGGTCCCTGACCTCTCAGCTTCCAGAAGGAAAGAAGTGCGACTTTCGAGCCACTTTGGGCCTGCAAAAATAACGGAGTTTGGCGGCTGGAGCCAAATGTTCCTCACACCTTTCACTGGGGGTGGGGGTGGGGGTGAAGGGAGGGGGGTAGATCAACACAAGGCGAGGCGGCCCTGTGCCATGATCCACAGAGGGGCTTCTTTTTCTGCCACCCCAGTGGCATGTCTCTTCAAATACTGCCGCCCTCGTTTTACTCCTCCTTATAGGGTGACGCTTAGAGGTGGTAGGGTCTTGCTCCCCCCTCCACCATTTCAACCACGGTTCTTAATCTCACGGAGCCAAAGTGGTTTTGAAAGGGTAACTCGAAAGCACAGAGTCACTGGACGACCCTCATCGACGTCAACCTCAAAGCCTACCCTTGGATCGCTCCGTTCCTTCTAGCTGTAACCAAGACGAAAGATGGATGATCTGATACAAGAAAACCAAAAAGGACAAAGCCCCATGTCAGGAAGGGAGGGGGGTAAAGTGCCACCCATGGACTGCATGCATGCTTCCCCCCTCCCTCTGCAACAGCTTTTGAAGGCTTCTGGAGGCAGAAAGAGGTGTGGCAATAAAAAACAAAAACACAGAGTCATCTGTGCAATTGTTTTGCTATAAAATGGACGCTGGGCCTAAAAAACCCCAAGCCCTTAAGGGGATGGGGAATAAACCAGGAGGAGAGTTCAAGAAATTAGAAGTGGCCCTTTTATAGTCGCATATTGATTTTTAAAAATGTTTTTCCCATTCTGGGGGCTGTTGCAACCCTGGTGGGCCTGAGGGAAGAAAGGTGGGTCTCAGGACGGCCAGGGTTGCCCCCCCCTCAGGCCCTGACTGCTCCAAAGGGACACCCCCTCCCTTCCCAGGAGAGCCATCCAGCCCCCTCTTTCCCTCTGTGTTACTGAAACATGATCGCTGCTGTTTTGGACTTGTAAAAACACAGGTCAGTATTTAAGCTAAGGATGCAAAGAAAGCAATGTGCCGCGAATGGGGCTTTCAGTGAGTAGGGACAGCCCTCCTTTAACAGCTTCCCACATTCACAATCCACACAGCTCCAAAACGCAGGGGAGTTGCAGGAACAGACTTTGCAGTGGGCTTGCAAGTGGAAAGACTGGTTGTTTGCATAGAGAGAATTTCTTTCTATCTGGCTGATCAAATCTTTACAAAAACAGCTCACAACTTTACACTACTAGTTCTCAGGAGTTTCAGCCTCTGGCCTGTCTTTCCTGCAGCTTTAATTCCTCTACAATGCCATTAATTTAAGAATGCTATCCTCTCTAGTAGAAGTGCAGTGCTTTCAAGCAACCGACTAGCAACCGTACTGTAAACAAAATCTGAGAGAAAAAAAATTAAAAGCAACGGCTAGCTTGAACACACAAAACCTGCTCATGAGCATTGTGGTTTCTGGCCCATGTGCAGGACTTTGCGTGTCACATGGCAGAATCCCAGCATGCCAGAAAACAAGGGTACTCTGATTTTGGAGCATGGCTGGAGAGGGAGAACAGGGACTTGCACCGACAGAAGAGATCACAGAGGAGTCACCCGGAGAGGAGGGAGCCTTTCCACTCTGGCCGTCCACTTTGAAAGAATCTACAGCAACACAGCAGCTGTTTGAGCAACACCATGGCCTCTGCACAAAGCCACAATAGGGCTTAATGCCTCCAAAAGGCATTCCCCTCCTCTCTCCCCCCCCCGCAACCCCGCATGCACACACGGACACACCGGGCTGCAAGCAGGCATGTTATTGTGTGCAGACCAGGTGCTGGGGACGAAAGCAGCTGTTGGCCCAAACACTAAGGCCTCCCCCCCCCCGCTACCCCGAAAGGCCTGGTTCACTCCCAGGTCTTCCCGGTCAAGCACATGGCAGGGATCTGAAGCCATCTCTCTCACTCGCTTTGCATTCCAAGACTGGCACTTTGTGTGTATCATCATTATTCTACCGTTCGCTGTGGGCCCTTCTGGCAGGGCTGGGCGGAGGGCCCGCTTTCCCTCCTCTCAGTCATGGCTACTTAACAAAGAATGGATGAAACGGCTTAGTCGGAGCAGACTCCTCTCGCTCATGGAAGTTTGTTTTTAACTGCCCTTGGGAGAAAGCAATCCTACACACAGGCAAGTTTTAAAATCCATGCTTTGTTTTACTCCTTTCCCTCAGAATTGGGATTAGGTGGAACCAACAGAAAGAGGCAGGGCGAAAGACTCAAACACACCGAGACTAATCCAGGGCCTAATCCTCAGCTTCCCTGACAGCAGAAAATTGCCTTGGCAGGGCAGAAACCAAGGCTGACAGCAGGCGGCCGATGGAGGACGGCTGCCTACACACCTGACGGCTGCCAGGTGTCTCCTTTGCACACACGCTTTACCCAAATGCAACCATAGAGGCAGCAGCCATGGAGTGTGTAAATTCTGCAGGACACCTTGGACTCGCCAGCCAAATTCAGCAGACCATGGATTCAGGGGGCCTTTTCCAGGTTCTACATCCCTTGGCTGGCTTGTCGATTCTAGACTTCAGCATCGGTAGAATTCAAGCCAATCTCAATGGACCAGACACACCCAAATGATAACATCCTTACAACTCCCACCAGGCAGGCCCTACATGCTGCAGGGGAAAAGTGGCAGGAATTACTGTCCTTCAAGAGGACCCACCCTCCTGCACCGTGACCGCCCTTCTCTCACTCAGGGTCCTGGATGGGCTTCTGAGAAAAACCTCAGGGTTTTGGAGAACACCATCTGATATCATTAACCACTGATCTATTTGACTGCTACCTAATGGTGCAAGTGCAAATTCCATTTAAAGAGGGCTCCAAACAACTTGTTGAATATTATGTCTTTGCCAAAAAGGTAGTGTGCGACACAAATCTGCAACAATCTCGTTACAGGTGCAAGACCGCAGTTACGAATAGGCAGGCTCAGCCCACTAGTTCCATTGCACTATTTAGGGTGTGGAGGGCAGCCTCAGCCTCCGGCCTTGGCAACAGCACTCCCCTCATCGCTTGCCTCCTCTCTCTCCCTCCCCCTCTCTCTGGCAATGATTGTCCAGCTTTCAGGTGAAGAAGTGGGAGAGCCACACTGCACCCTTGAGGAAGAGGCTCAGGTTTTCTGCCACACCTCCACATCCCCTCTCACAGCTCAGCCTTAGCCCTTTTTGTGGAACCCACCCAATCCGAAGGGGGGAAAAACCTGAGATGCAAAAGTTCCTCCTTTCTAGAGACAGAGTACTTAATTCCTTCCCTAGGCCTGCTAGTATGTAGTCTAGGCTGAGAAATAAGCTAGTGGTCTGTGAAATTTTTTGTGCCATTCAAAGGAAGGTGCTGGTGTTAAGAAAGGGACATCTCTGCCAGTGAGACACAAAGACACATCATCAGAATCCAGGAGGCAAATGAATCACAAGAGGACCAACCCATCCGTCCGTCAGTGGCACTGATTCAAAGTTGGAAGCAGGGATAGAGAAACCAGCATTACACCAAGTGGGGGAATCCGCCCCTCAAAAGCATGCAAAGTGTACATGTGTTTTTGAGAGCAACATTCATCTGAAGGTATTTCCATGCGGAGTTGCATCCTCTGGTTCATTTCGAAGCACAATGGCGCCCCCTTGAGGGGAAGGCTGGGGGCAAAAGGAACAATAAATACACCCCATATGAGGTACCTTTAAAAAGATGGCAAATTTCTGAACAATGAAACCAAAGCACACAAGTCTGGGCCAGCCTGATGGGATCCTGACCCAAAACCACCTGAAACAATGCTGCCACCACATCCCCGGAGCCCAGATCATGCTTGATTCCAGAACTGCTCTTCCTACCACCAAAACTTGTCCCCTTCAGAGCGTTCTTCAGAATTCCAAAGACTCCTTTTTTAACATGTTCCTACAGAATTCACTCTACATTACCAAATGACCTCAGCTTGGGCTTTGCTTTGGGTAAAGGCGGAAACAGCTGGAAGATCAATGCCCAGTTGAAGAGATGAAGAGCAACAAAGGAAATTCGTCATAAAGAGGAGATCAAGACCTGTCCTCCTGCAGATGTACCCTTCCCAGGAGGAAGAGCCAAAAGAATCATGTGGGAAGAAGAGATACATCAAAGGCTAGCCATATTTTATGGCCACTAACGTAGCAACATGTCCAGACAAGGCTGGGCCACCCCCCCTCCTCCCGAGGAATCTCCTGCAGGCAAGGGAGGCCATGTGCCTCACAGGAAGCTGCGAAGTGTGCCAAGGCCTTGGGAGTGGGCACAAATGCTGATGGGCAGGCCACCTCCCACCCCACGGCAGCCCTTCGCATCAATGTGACAGGCAGCCTAGAAAGAGTCATTAACAAAAACCAAAGGGGTTTTATGGCATCTCAAGAAATAAGGGGACAGGCAAGAAATGCCTTTGAGAAAAGCACTTCAAAGCAGGCACATTCTCCAACTTTTTCAACTTCAGACACACAAGTTCTTAATTATGTTTCCCCCCCCCCCACAAATACCTTCAAAAAACTATTATCCTTGGATTCAAATCACACATTTCCCAGCTTATTTTTAGACCCTTTGTGATTGCCAATACTTGAGTGCAAGGAGGCAGCTGCATGAGACCTCAGCTGCTCCAGAGCTGATCAGGCACCAAGCACTTCTGCGATACAGAAGGTCTGCAGGCACCTCCAGTCCAGGAAGCCCAACTGTGCTGGAAGGAAGGAAGGAAGGCGCATTCAGCAAAAATGATGAGAAGGGGATGGCATGTGCCTGCCCGCAGTCAGCCGGTGTGCTGCCAGGAGTGTGTTAACACCAGAAGGGGGTGGGAGAAAGGGTCATTCAGCCAGCACTACAAGAGAAGCACCCCCTTCTCCAAGGATATGGCAGGGCGACCTCCTCACCTCCTAGACAATGTGGGCACCGTTTACAGCCTAGTGTGGAATGGCCGTTTTACCTCTGACATCAAAAGCTGCCCGTACACAGAAAGGAAGGCAATCAGGAAGTCAGAGGCACTTAACAGAAGTGTGGGTGGGTGGGTGGCGGGGTGGGGGAGGAGAAGCTTCTTGACCACAGGTTCAAATACCTAAGGGATATGCAAGGCCACTAGCCAGCCATTCACACCAGCGGCACTCCAGGTCTAAGCTGCATATCAAAAAGGAGGCGACAATCCTTCCTCCTCCTTGGCCTCCTCCCCATGACTGACACACACACACACACGAAGCCCCCAAGGCAGAAAGGTTCCCATCCCCATCACTACAGGAAGGATCCTTTCCAGGACCAAGGACCAAAGCAGGGCTGGGGGAAGCACAGCCTACCCTAGCTTGCCAGACTTCCAACCCCCATCCACAGTAGCCAGCAGAGTCAGTGGTGTGGATAATGGGAGTTGCAGTCCAGAAACATTTGGAAGGACCCACATGCAACACCCAGAAGTATTACCATTACACGCAGAGGCCACGGCCTCCTTAGCACCAAGGAACACAAAGCAGGACTTGACGCAGGATTCGGGAGGCTTACTTAGGGGGAGGAGGAGGCCAACTGCTTCTTTCTCTGGCTTACTTAGAAGCAGCACTGAACTCTGTGGGACTTCCCTCCCTTAAACACAAAGAGAATTAACAGCTAACATTCTAATAGGGCAAAACCATGCGCTCAGAAGGAATGGTGGTTTGCTGTCCGTCATGCTGTCAGCTGCACAACCGGGTGCCCCACCATTTCTTCTACCCATCCGCACCAAGGAGTGCAACAAACAGCCTTGTCTGGTTCCTTTGAATGCTACCACACAGGGACAGGATTCTGGCCTAGATACCCTAAACTTTAAGGAGGAACTGTGTGTCCTGCACATGTCTCTGAATTCATACGCTTGATTGAACATATTCTCCCCCCCCAAAGAAAAACACAAACCACTTTACTAGCCATGATTGAGTGGTGAAATGGGAGAAGAATGAAAAAGGGACCTGCAGAACTGGCGCTTTCAGACGTACCAGCTACGATTCTAAACCTCAAAAGCTCTGCAGCAGATAAAACTGAAGTTATAGCTAATATACTCAGATATACTCAGTTAAATCTGTGTGCACTGGGAGGGCTCTAAAACAACCAGCCAAACTTACATGAGCATATAGCATTGTACCTAAAATGACAGTGAACTTTACACACAGATTCCTCCCTCCTGGATTCCTTGCAGGAATGAAAGATATTGTCCAAGCTCCTTTCCTTCCCCACCAACAGTATCAAAGCTGGCCCACCGAGAGCCCACAAATGGCCGGCAGTGGAAGGTGTCTCATCAGCAAGCCCAATTAAGGCAACTGTTCCAAACGGAGGAGCAGCAAGAGAATAAACGGAAGAAATAAAAGGCCTGGGTGACAATGCAGAGCTACCTGGCTCAATCTGCTGCTGCTGCTGCTCCTTCCTTCCTTCCCAGCCCTCAAAGGACAACAGGCCAGTCAAACGCTCACCAGCAGCCAAGCCCATTCACACACCCGTGACAACATGTGCCTGCTGTAATAAGGACCACAAAAGATCTCTGGGAACTTGGCTTCAGCCTTTTCCCCACAGCCTCTGGGTCATCTCAGGTCTGCCCCCCCCCGTGCAAAAGGCACGAAGTTCCCTCCCCCACCCTATTCTTTAAAGGGGGGGGGGAAGGAAGACAAAAACTGGGGTTTTTTTTGCCCAGGCTGGTTGGTATCCTGTGCTTTTTTTGAGGAAGGAACAATCAGGCATGGCTTAGAACAACAAGCCATGCCTGATTATTCCTTCCCCATCTCCTTCTATTGGTATACTTTGCTCAAAGCAAAGCTGGGGCAAGAAGAGCCTGCAGAGGCCAGAGCCATTTGGAGTAGAATGGCACAACGGGCCAAATGAGAGGTGGGAACCCTTCGCCAGTAGGGAGGCCAGCAGCAAGGCCAGGAGCGGAGACTCGTAACTCGACAGCCTTCAGAAGCACACAGGGACGGTCTTGCACAACTCCTCACAGTCTATCCACAGGACCAGGACGCAATAGCATCCCGCTGCTTATAATCCTTGATACGCAGAGGAAACTGGCCTTTGGGACTGGAAAGGACATGGCTCCGTTCCAACGGGCAGCCGTTCAGAGCCTCATCTTCCTTGAGCTGCCAGGGTTACTCTCACGGTCCCCAGTAATGCAACACATTCACCAGGATATGGGAAGCTACCTTGTTCTGCATCCAAGCACCTGGGGATAGTGAGAATCGGGATCCAGCAAATCAAGAGACACCAGGCCATGGCATGCTGGCTCTGCCCACTCATTTCTGTCCTACTGATTGTGAGGTCCAGCTTGCTCTCCAGAGTGAACCATATCTGGCCCTGCGGCCTCTGCTTGTTTTCTACACTGGAAGGATCTTGGTGCTTCAAAGTATCCTGTGCCATGTAAACATGAAGGAGCCAGCAGCCTCACATCCCTGTTTAGCCACCAAACCCTCTACTAAGTTCTAAAAACAGCTATTCTTCGCATAAACAACTGCTATAGGGTATTGCCAACATAAAGGATGTGTCAAAGATCAAACTCTTCATATGCTCTGAAAAACTAAGAACATGCCACCGCTCATGAAGAGTGCAACAAATTACTCTTATCCTAGAGAACTGGAACCTTGCCTATCTCCACCAATATTTCAGAGGTTTTTTTCCATGTCAGGTTCATCAGTTGGGTTTCAATCTGCCCGGAAGAAATAATTAGACTGACTGTAGCATGCATCCACAAAACAAACAAAAAACAAACAAACAAAGAAGGTAAGCCGTATCAGGTTCACAGTGACCTCCAGCGGTTGGAGTTTAATTAACAAGACAAACTACTCTCAGGAAAATAACAACTTACCTTTACACCGTGCTCATCCACTGAATTGCTACCTGCCGACAATCAAGAAAAGAAAAAAGGAAGATTATTTCTTCATAATATTGAATAATAAGGAACCAGCCCCTCCCCCTGATGCTTACAGACTGGCACCAAGTGTTGTGCTACAAGATGAAAGAAAGATATGTAACTCTGTCAGGTTAAAAGTTTACCAAGTCAGCTTTCCTTACTTTAGGCTGCTTCCTTATTTCCTCATTTTATGGAAACAGGAAGAGGAGTACTTAGTCTCTGACTTTTTAGTCAAACACAATTAAAAACACATGAAAACATGGATCAATCTTAATTAAACGATTCAGTGGAGAACTCTAGACTACTGCTGAGCATCATCATCATGGGCATCCTTCAGTCTCAAGAGACTATGGTAACATGCTCTGTATCGATACTAACAAGCTGCCAAGTCAATTCTGACTTACACCAACTCTATTTTCAGTTTTTTCTAGGTAAAGAGTACTCAGAAGTGGTTTCCCATTTGCTTCTTCTAAGGGTGCCCTGAGATTGTGAAGCTTGCCAAAAAAAACACAGGCTGGCTCTTCTGGGATACACAGCGGGGAATGGAACTCCTAATCTCTGGCTCCACACCTGGGTACCTCAACCACAGAGCTACCCAGACAGCTTGTACCTATGCAATGTGCAGGTGGACATGGATTTTTTTTTTTTTGGGGGGGGAGAGACAACCAAAAAAATTAGGTAAATCAGATAATCATTATCAATAAGTAATAAGTAGTTTATTTCATGTGTAGGAAACATCACCTCACCTAAACTAACTGAAGTGCCTCATTCCTACCAATTTTATGCTGATGATCTGCCCAGTATCAGAGATTTAGGCCCACTCTTTTTCATCACTTGCTGGCAAACTTACCAAAGATGTAGATAACTGCTATACCGCTGCTAGCACCCATAAACCCTGCTATCCTAAGGACCATCTTTTTTGCATAGGCTGTGTTTTCCTTCTGCTTCTTCTCTTGCTGCTCATCAGAAGTTTTGCCATCTCCACCTTCTGTTGACTGCAGAGAGAAACAAAGAGAAGTGGAGGCGGGCAAGAAAACAAAAATTGGAGAAACATTTCTAGCTTTTTTCCCACTACTAATAAATTTTGCTGTCTATTCTATTTTGAACTGAAGAGAAACAAGTGACTGCGGGGGTGGGGAATATGGTTTCAGCCAGGGAGTGTCAGACTGGCTAGAAATGGTCCAATGGAAAGGCAAGAGCCTATACAACTGGTTCCAACAACGTTGCAGGAGTTGGCAGAACGACATGAACTGCCTTCGGGACTCCAGCTCTGGATTTTGCCTCTAGGTTAACTCCTGAAGCCTTTTCCATGAGTAGATACAGCCACAAGGCAGTGGAGGTTTGAAATTGGAGTTTTCCTTCTCCTAGATGGGCTGCCCTCCATGGCTGACGAGCCCCACCTACCCGGCCTGCTCTCTAATAGTGCGGAACTATGATCCGACCCTTAAAACTTTCCTGCCTCCCAAGTATATGCAATGCTAATTGGCTTTCCTATTTACCATATTAGGGTCAGAGAATTTGAGGAAACAAAAGAAATCCCAGCAAAAACAAACTCCTCAGCAAAATGTCCATGCAGGCAAACCTGGTCTTCAGCCTCAGCTCAGCCTCCTAGGGAACAATTACCTGATCAAGTGCTATACTGTATATGATATATATGTACTACATATATTATGTATGGAATATCTATTGGTCTTTCTGTACATTTAAGACATAAGACATAAGAAATTTATTTGTCATTGCGCTCAGCATTCTAGTAGACTCTGGTCAGTTCTGCACTCACATGCCAAATAAGGTGGGCCAGGGTGCGACAAGCACCCCTTACTCTCTAAGGACTCCCTGCCAGCTTCTTCCTACTAGGGAAGGGCTTCTTCATCCCTAAGGAGGAGAACAAACTCTGCACGAAGACCTTTTCCGACGGACCCCGGGCAACCCTCATCGGTTTCCCAGGGCACGGGAGGGATCCGAGGAGCGCATTCGCCTCAGCCCCGCTCGCCTTCGTCCCAGATGCCTTTCCCCCGCGGGCAGAGGGGAGACCTGGCCTCGAGGGTCCCCGTCGGCCGGCCCTCCCTTCTCCCGCTCCGGGAGGCTTTCCAGCGCCTGCTGTTCCCAGTCGCCGCCGAGGTCCGGCGGAGACGGGGAGGCTGAAAGCCTGTTCCTTCTCCTCCTCCTCCGAATCCCATCCTCCCCGGAGGCCTCCCTCGGCCTGAGGAACACGCCTGCCCGAACCTCCTGGCTAGGGATGATGGGTTCGGGAGTCCTCCCCCCCCGCCGGAAAGGC